TTAAAAAAAATAAAATAATATATATATATATATATATATATATATATATATATTGCTAATTACATATCCGTGTTCTCATAACAAAGAAAAAATTCTAATTTTACCCTTACTCATTCTTATTTATTATGAAAAGAGGTGTTGCATAATGACATGACAATTGTGGCTTTTCATTCCTTGAAACTTCCCCTCTCCCATGTAATAAGCATACCCATCCGAAAATTTGACATGCATCATAATCCACTCTAAAAATGCTTCCTTGGAAAATGCATCTAAACGGAATCGAGTGGTTGGTGCTTTCCCATTTGGCAAGACATGAAGCTTTCTTCAAGAACATATATGAGACAAGTCCAATACCGACTTCAAATTGTCTTTTGTCTTTCCTTGAACATTTAGTACGGTGTTCATGAGATTATCGAAAAAGTTCTTCTATGTGTGCATGACATCAAGATTGTGCTAAACATTCCAATATGGCAATAAATAGAAGATACTAAACTTGTGTCAGTTGTGATGATCGCCATATCCATCAACAATATCATGCCTATTACCACCGTAAACCGATGTCTGCTCGGCACCAAAATCTCTTAACTGAGTCAAAATATCCTCGCCAGAATACTCAGGAGGTGAACTATCAAATACTTGCCGATCTTTCTAAATAATGTGGTGCTCCTACGATAAGGATGATCTTCAGAGAGCCATCGTCTGTAACAATCAAACCAACACGCTTATGTCTGTGTTTCAAGTGAAACGCATCAGTGTTATCTTGACAGTACGGACAAGAAAACCGTCCATGCGTGGTCCGTCCAGATAACATACCATAGGCTGGAAAATCACTTATAGTCCACATATGCACCACCTGCATGTTGAAATTTTGGTTCACTGAAACCTCGAACGCTTCCACACCATGTTCCATAACATTTGTAACTCATAAATCAATGGCTGCAAAAAAACATTAAGTGCTTTCTTCGGATGATCAGGACGAGGAATAAGAATGGTGAGGAAAAGACTCGTTTCGTACCTTGTTGGAGCCTATCACGCTCCCTACTCAGCCCACCAACATTGAGTTCGGCCCGCTAAGTCTCATTGGCCGACTTCCCAGGGCAAAACCGAGACTTAACACGAGCGACAAAAGAAACTCTAGGTTTTCGAGCCAAGCCTATAAATAGCAAGGAACACTGTTGAGAAAAGAACCCAAACTTTTAGGCATTACCCAGAGTGCATTAGCATTGTCTACATTTATTAGCTTATTATTTCTCCTATGTTCACCTTTTTCCGATCAGTACGACAGGTTAACCGCCGACCTCGGATTCGCACATATGTAATAAAATAATTCATTCAATTACTCCCACAAAATCTTTCGTATTATTGTTACTGAAACCTCAACACATATGACTGATTCTCGGGAGTTTCTGCATGTAATAAGAAAGGAATATGAAAGTGAAAGAAAGTTTTTTTGTAAGAAACCTACTGCAAAAGGTGTAGTATGAGCTAAACAGAACTTGCAAGCTAGAAGTATTGTCTTCAGAAATAAACTTACAGAGTTACATACAAAGATAAAGATTGTAGCAGTCAAGCCGAATCTCTTGGTAACACACAAATAAAGACAAGACAAAGAGAATTATACTAGGGAATGTTGTATGGTAGCACCCTTTCTGTTTTTTAGTTTTTAGCTTAACACCCTTCTATGTTTAAGGACCGTTTTTGACATACTTTTTTACTGTAGATAAATTGTACAATTTTGCCCCCATTAAAAGCTGAGCGAGAAAAAAAAGAAAAGCTGGTTATACATTAATCAATCTCAGCCGTTGATTACTAACTAAAGCGACTTAAATCGTGTGGATATTGATGTATTTGGTTTATTTGGTAGGGTTAGAAAATGGATTTTTGTGGATAAAAAATATAAGAGGAGAGAGAGGTCGACTATGTTCTCAAACTCTGCTATGGCTTCAGTTTCTGCTATGGCTCCTTGGTACATCACAATATCTCTTGATTTTTATATTTACCGGAGTTTCGTTAGTGACATGGTCAGCAAGGGGAGGGGATAAAGGGGGTGAGTTCCTCGCGGTGTTGATTGTGAACCAAAAAGTGAGTAAGTTAAAAATACATATCCATAAGTGTGTGTTCATGTGGACATCCATGCGGGATCGTTCAAAAAGGACGTGAAGGACATAACAACTTACCGTGTTTTGACCTTGCTTCCCTTTCATCGATGGCCATACCGCTTCCACATTAGTCTGGACATTAATGGGGTTAAATACAACGATATGAACCAAGAAACACATAAATAGATTAAGTATCCATGTGTGTGTGTCCATGTGTACATGCTAAATTATACAGTATAATTTAAAAAAGCTTTACCAAATGATCATCAACGTGGGTGGATCTGCCTTCACTTTTCTCAATGCCCATACGTGAAAATCCAAGATGACTTGTTTTCACCGTCGATTAACTTGTTGGACATATCTTTACCTTCATCGATGGCCATACCCGCTTCCACAATTGTATGGACGGTAACGAGATTAAATACAACGAGAACTAAACAAGTTACAATTGTAATGGAAAAAATTGGGGACGATGGTGGATTTTGAAAAAGGATTAATGTGAAAATTCAGGCTGGAAATTCGTCTGCTAAATATCAAGAGCGGCGGAGGAAAGATGGATATGGAGGTAGGGTCTTTTACTACGACATATAATTGTGTCGATACAAAATAAAAAATATATATTACAGATATTAAAAAAAAAAAAAGCAAATGCTAAAGTGAGAACAACACTAGTTAAAAGGGTAAAAAAGAAAAATTGCGTAGGGAAACGGTGTCTAGGCCCGAAACGGTGTTATTGTGTAATAGGAAACATAGAAACGGTGTCACTATGCTAATATTTCATTATACTAAGGCAAAAATGACATGTCTTAGCTCTCTCTCAATCGGAAAACTAATAGAAATATGAGTTTGTCATACCCTCTCTCCCAGTGTGGCTTAATCGGTGTGATTTGTATCATCTTGAAAGTGTTGAACTTTCTAGATCCAGCCACTTTTTACTTTTTACTTTTTACTTCATTAGATTAGGTTTTCTTACACATATTTATACTACTACTTAATTGTCACTCTCATTCTTAAACCTAATACAACAAATAAACCCATTAACATATATATTGGCCTTCATTAACTACTGGCCCAAAGAGCCTTCTTTCATCCTTCTTCTTCCTCCTACGACAAAATACTTTCTTTCCTCTACGACACCACACTTCTTCTTCTCTTCTCTCACGATCTTTCATCGGCTTCACCGCTTCACTTCTCTTCATCACCTTCTTCCCCTACTATCATTTGTTCATTGTTATGAAAAAGATCAATTCCCAACAGAAAGCATCTTCCACTATATATGCCTACATGGTTCTAATGCAACCGTTAGCTTCCATGAGAAGGTGACTGCATCAAGCTTAAAACTTCCCTCTTACGTTCCTTAATTAGTAGACCATTCAACTAATTTTACATAGCTCCAAGCTGTCAAAAACTTTATTTTATTGGAGGACCGATATGAGACGACATTTGCTTCACTCCCTCATAAAAACCAAAATAAAATTTTGAACTTTTTAAGATAAGAGGTCCTCACCAAATGATGTTCAGTTGTAATTGTTGCAGAGGCCTCACCCTCATTCCGAGATTCTAATCGTCTGTTACTTTTGTTAACAATAATGGCCGAAGGCCCGAAGTGAAGGGAAAAAAAAGAAGACAGAACATTAGTTGTGTCTTGTTTATCTTCTTCCATATGGTCGAACACAACCAAAACACATCAAGACAATATATTCCAAAGAACACATCAATAACTAGAATAAGACTTGACAAAAGAACATATTTTGCAGCTGTTTATGCAAGTAATATATGTATTATGAACATCTTCAATAATAAGCACCACTTGAAATTGATCAATACCATAAACGAAACCATGCACTACGAATACTAAGTAACACTTAACAGAGCTGATGTTGATATCACTCACCAGGGTCTCACTGATGATAAAAACTTCTCCACGCATCGGTAAAAAAAAAAAAATCAGAGTAGAAGAAGAAAACTGAAATTATTAGCTGGCATGATTACATTGTGGTAAATGGTAAAATAAACACAAATTAGCTGTCGAGAGTTTGATTTCTCTCTTCTTTGGCTGCCGAGAGAGGAAGTGAACCCCAAAACATAACTTTGGAAAGTCGAAACATATCATACTAGTAAAAGTGATATCCTACTAAATTTGTCTGGAAAAATTACACAATTTTAGAAAGTAGCATAACTAACAAATTACCTAGGCTCTCATTCCAACCAATTTTTTCCATTTCTATATGATTTTTTTTTTTTTTTTTTGGAAACTCTATATGATTTTTGTTTATATGCTGACGAAGAAAGGGAGCCAAGACATGTTTACACACCCATGCTTAAGTGTATCAAACTTTTCATAGAAAGATTCATATAATAACAAGAGCATGAATCTATATATATAGAGAGAGAGCTATATAGATTTGTTAAAAATCAAGAGGGACTCAGAGAAACCACGATGCAGCTCAATCTCCAGTGGTTTTGTCCCCATCTTTAACCATAGTGGAGTGAGTAAATTTTATCTATGAGGAGTCATTGTAAGAAATAGTAAATCACAAGTTCAAAGCAGATAGCATAGTTATAAATTTACAAAGTTACATAGAGAGATAAAGATTGTAGCAGTCAAGCCGAGTCTTTTGGTAACACACAAATAAAAGACAACACAAAGAGAATTGTACTAATGCAAGAATGACATGCCTCAGCTCTCTGAATCTGCAAAGCAAGAGATAAGAGACATGCAGTTTTAATACCAGCAAGAGTTCATGAAAACCCTCTCTGTCATGATCGTCGTTACCATCCCAGAGAGGAAAAGGATAATCATGAGGGAGATTATGATTGAAAACCAGTGGATTCAATCATCTTTCCAGACCTACGCTCCTCGTTTCCGTCGATCTTAAGATATTCCAAGTGTGTCAGTTCACGTAGAGATGACAATAGAGTTTCTCTAGTACACCCATTGCCATTGTTATAAACACAGAGATTCCTTAGCTTTTCCATCCGTTGAAGATCATTCACACTGCTATGCTTTGTTGAGAAATGAACCAACATCTCCATGTTGACTAGATTACCCATTTCCAACCTTGTCTTATCATGCATACGCTCTGGAAGAGAGAGGTATCCCAATCCTCGCATCCCTGTAAGGAAATTGGGGATGTAGGTCGAACAGCGTGTAGTTAGGTTTAAATAGATCATCTGCTTCAGGTTCCGCATCGAAGAAGGTAAACGAGTTAACTTTGCATCATATAAACTCAAATATCTCAAGTGGATGAGGTTCACAATGCTAGAGGGTAGTTCTCCTCCAAAATCAACTCTCGATAGATCTAAAACCCTTATCAACTGTAGCCCTGTAAACCATAAACTTGATTTTGCATAACAACCAGAAACCTGGTTCCACATAAACAAGATAGATCTAAGTTTTGGATTGATCATCTCTCCTCCCGGATTACATGTTTTACCAAGCCAGGGCACCGCTATCCTACGAGATTGACAAGGAGACTGAGAGTTTGTAGTATCAACAACGTGTACAAAATTCTCTTCTTCAGCTTTACGCAGACAAACTTCTCTCATCATGTCATGCATCTGACATATTTCAAACCCCCAGTGACTATTAACATCCCGTTTAACCATGTTTCTCTTCACCAGATCTTCTATATATCCATTTCCGACCTCTTCAATGGTTGCTTGATTGTAATGATTTGGTCTTGGTATTCCTTCAGCTGCCCAATAATAGGACAGATCCCAAACACGTATCGGATGATCTTCTGGAAAATGGGCAAGGTAGAGGAAACAATACTTCAAATAAACAGGCAGCTCGTCAAAGCTAAGATTCAAAATATGATAAACCGAACTCATATTTTTTTCAGTGAAGCTTGTCCCTCCAACGATGTGAGATTTAATATTCCTAGATATCCTTTTCCACTCACTAAATGTGTGTTGGGAAGCTAGCAACCCTCCTAACACCTTAACAGCCAATGGTAGTCCTCCACAATGTTTGACCATCTCCTTACCCAGCTCTTCCATTTCTATATCAACTTCAAATTCTACACAACACCAACATGAATTTGGGATTTAAAAGCAAGATGTGATGGAAAAAAAGAGTTTTTATATTTCTTTGCAAACTTACCCGACGTTGTGTCTTTCCTAGGAAATGCAATCTTTAGAAAAAGTGTCCAAATTTCATCCAAGTTTAGGTATTCTGGTTTAAAAATGGTACCCTTCGGATCTACACTTACTGCAACATTCTCGATGCGAGATGTAAGTAGTACCTTCCATCCTGCAATACATTTTAACTTTTAAGCAACACGAAATCATATCATTCAGGTATGCCTTGTTCTATTTTTTTCTTAATCAAAAAGCCTAATACATGTAAAATAAGATGAAGCATAAGATCTCACCTTTTTTTGATGGAAATACATGGTTTATCACGCCCCAGTCATCTTCATTCCAAATATCATCCAGGACAATCAAAGAAGTACTGGTTTCTAAAAGTAAAAAGAGCTTTTTTTGGAGGTCCTCTTCATTCATATTTGACGTTTCATGCTCATCATCTTTTGAACTAAGCTGTTGCAAGATTGTTTGCCACACATAAGTCCGTTCAAACTGTTGTGAAATGCACACCCACGCAACTCCATCAAAATGGTTTTTTACCCTATCATGATTATAAACTTGTCGAGCCAGAGTAGTTTTACCAATACCCCCCATCCCAATTATAGAAACTACTTGAATGCTATCTTCCTCCACCAAATAGCCAATCAATTTCTCAACACTCTTCTTCACCCCCACAAGATCGTTTTCATTATTGCTTGGAAATGTTTTTCGCATCTTCCTTTGTCTTTCTTGTAGAGGATGTGAACACTCCCCGCCATTGACAATCATCGGTTGCACTCCAAATTTCTCCATATCGCATATCACCTTGGAGATCCTCTTACTTATGCTTCTTATATCTGAAGCAATTTCCCTGCGATCCCATATAATGCAAGAAAACCTTCTCACAGTGTTTTTGAGGCCACTTGACGTTTTTCTAAGCTCTTCCTTAAGAAGAAATGTTTCGATTATATCCTCTGTGTCGAAAACAATTTCCTTGATCTCTTCCAAAAAGTTTCTCACCGTCTCACTTGCATGTTTCTTAGCATCTGCGTCTCTCAAGAAGGACCTAAGCAAGTTCAAATCCCTTTTAAGTTCAGAGAGTTGCTCTTCAACTCCTTGAAATCGATCAGATTCTCGGACAAGAAGGTCCCAAAGCTTCTGAACTCCAAACGACAAAAGTGTCTCAGCCATAAGTCTCCTGCTTAACTAACCAAATGAAAGTAGTAACCAACAGTCACTAAATTAGTGCCCTTGATATCAAAATTCTGATATTATTATGCAGAGTTTACAGCATAAAATTCTGATGTAATATTTCAATCCATAGATCATTCTATTGAGACAAAAGATCCAAGAAACTGCTTCCAAATAAAACTAAAGAATGAAAATTAACATGACTCACCTTTTCTTCGAAATCGCTTTTTCGTCCAATCGTTCTTTTAGGTGTTTTTGCTATATCTTTGATAGTTTGAGAACTAGAATAGTTGACTTTAGTAAAAATATGAGTGGCTATAGATCGAGTACTAGAAGAGTTGACTTGTAGCCACTTGTCACGTAATATTTGTTTATAGGCAAATGGTTACTCTAAAAAATGAGATGAAAATGATGTGATGAAAAAAATTGGGACGAATAGTTTTCATCTCCTCTAGTGTCGAGGAAAAGTTTTCTTATTTTCTCTTCTTTATTCCTCTAATATGAGGAGAAAGAGATGAATAATCAAATTTTTATTTTTAACTCAAAGGATATACTTTTGGATGAATCTATGTGAATACATGATTCCTCTCTTTTATTTTACTTTTAGTTGTTATTCATTTACAGCCTTAATGTTCAAAAAGAATCGAATTTCCTGTTGTAATATTAATACTAGGGGATAACTTGTGATACTACACGGATGACATATGTTCAAAAACTTAATAAATAAATTATAGTTGTACTTATTTTTAAAATGTATTCTTATTTGATATTGTGTTTATTTTTGTATATTGTAAGTGTTAGATAAATCATATGTTTTCACTTTCAAGCTGTAGTGGCCGGTTTGACTGGTTAATTAGCGACCCGAAAACTAGAAATTCTTCTGTTTTCGGTTTAGTGCAAATATTTGGTAATCTTATAACTTAAAACCCGTAGAAATTGCCAATAGCAATCAGTGGCGGACCTAGTAAAGACCTAGAATAATAGTATCCGGTGCACCCTCATTGCCTTTCTCTTTTATGAATTTGTGTTCTGAGATTACTCGATTTCATAAACGAATATATATTACATGTTTGTCTATATATAATTGTAGAGTCTTATACAATTCCAACAAAAGAAATATGTTGGATTTTGTAGAAATCTTCTCCTCCTTTAGACAGTTTCTTCTTAAAGTCCCAGTTACCTAAGGTGATATTCAGTTTCTTCAAGGAAATGATAAATCTTATCCCATCAGGAAGCTCCTTCAACTTTTGACAGTTACGAATACTTAGAGTATGAAGAAGGGGCATTGAGACTTCTTCTATTATCCACTCTTCCCATTCCTCTAGTCCAAATAGATATAACTTTTGCAACTTAGGAAACCCACTACCCGAGCAAACCATTCTCCTCCCGCAGAAAGATTTATTCAATAATCTGACCTCATTTAAGTGATGCAACTTCTCTAGGATTGGCATTGGATCCTCTTCAAGACAACACTCAGTTAGAGATATGTCTCTAAGGTGAGAAGGGAAGTGTTGTTCATCAGGTAACCTTGGCATATGTATTCTCAACTTAAGTTGTTTAAGATGAACGCAATCCAAAACTAATCCTTTTGCATCACTCGTGGGAGGATACATCTTATAGTGATATATAGCAAGATTTTCCAAGTGTCTCAATTCACTTAGAGATGAAGATAGCGTCTCCACGGTACATCCGCCTCTAATAAAGATAGAGAGGACTCTGAGCTGTGTCATATCCTGTAGATCCCTTGATCTCCCATGCTTTGTTGAGAAATTCATCAATGTCTCTAGGTTGCTTAGATTACTCAAATCCATCTTTACGTTATCATCTATTCTTCATGGAAGAGAGAGGTATATCAAGTCTTGCATTTCTTTCAAGAAATTTGGCATGTAGATTGAGCATCTCTCTTGTACACATATGTTTAAATAGAGAAGCAACTTCAGATTCCGCATAGAAGAAGGTAGATGAGATACTTGTGCCTGATATAAACTCAAATATTTCAAGTGAATGAGCTTTCCGATGCTAGACGGCAACTTCCCTCCTTCAAATTGGGCACCAGAAAGATCTAAAACCCTCATCAATTGTAGCCTTGTAAAGCATAATGTTGTATCCATCCAATTGGGCTTATTCGTAAACAAGAGAGATCTAAGTTTTGGATTCTTCATCCCCCCCACCCGACAACTTGTTCCATTAGACCAATTTATGGCGAGTCTGCGGGACTTACAAGGAGCTTTAGAATTTGTAGTTGATGTGTCTGTAACAATTTGTAGGAAATCCTCTTCTTCAGCTTTAAGCATACAAACTTCTCTCATCACGTCATGTAAGTGACATGTTTCAAATCTTGAAGTACCAACATCTCTTTCGGATACAACCATATTTCTCTTCACCAATTCTTTTATGTATTCATCTGCGACCTCTCGAATGGTCGCTCTATCACAATATCTCGGTCTTGGTATTCCTTCTCCAGCCCAATAGTAGGACAAATTCCCCACATCTATCGTAGAATCTTCTGGAAAATGGGCAAGGTAGAGGAAGCAATGCTTCAAATATACCGGTAGCTCTTCAAAACTTAGATATAAAACATTATAAACCGAGCTAATATTTTTGTTACTGAAGGTAGTCCCACCAACGATGTGAGATCTAATATTCTCATATATCCGTTTCCACTCATGCAATGTGTATTGTGCAGCTAATAACCCGCCTAACACCTTAACAGCCAATGGTAAACCTCCACAATGTTTGATCATCTGTTTACCCACCTCTTCCATTTTCACATCAACTCTATATTCTACAAAACATGTTGTAACTAAAATAAATGAATGTCATAGATGTTTTCGAGTAATATGATTAAGGAAAATCAGATCATGATCATCTTAGAATGTCCTTAATTATAATTGAAATGGAAACAAAAATTAGTAAAACTTTCTTCAAAGCTTACCAGCATTATTTTCTCTAGGAAACGCTATCTTTTGAAAAATTGTCCAACTCTCCTCGAGAGTTAGGCAGTCTGGTTTGAAGGTGACACAATTTGGATCTGCTCGTAATGCAACACCCTCATTACGAGAAGTAAGTAGTACCTTCCAACCTGTACAAATAATATCTCTTGTTACTTAACTCCCTAACAAAAAGGAACATAAAAGTTTATGAACAATACTTGTTCATGTATCATAAAATCTCACATTTTTCTTGTGGAAACATTGGTTTTATTCTGTCCCAGTCTTCTTCTTTCCAAATATCATCAAGGACAATCAAAGCCTTTTGTGTTTCCAACAGTTTAAAGAGCTTCTCTTGAAGTTCGTCTTCTGGCAACTCTAACACTTTGTATTCTGGCCTTAGTTTCCGCAAGATCATCTGCCACACATGCTTCCTTGTAAACTGTTGTGAAACACATACCCACGCGAGTCCTGCAAAATGACTTTTTATTGCCTCATGATTAAAAACTTGCCTTGCGAGGGTGGTTTTACCAATACCGCCCATCCCGGTTATAGAAACCACTTGACTGCTTTCATCCTCCACCAAATGTTTAACCAATTTCTTAATGTTTTCCTCCACCCCCACAAGAAAGCTTTCATTATTGTTAGCAAATGTTTGTCGCATTTCCCTTTGTCTTTCTTGTAAAGACTGCATATACCCGTCATTGACAATGATCTGCTGTATACCAAGACTCTGCATATCACGGATAACCTTAGAGATCCTCTTACTTATGGCTTTAATATCGAAAGAAAACCCCATGCGTTTAGAAAACTTCATCACACTGCTCTTGATGCCACTTGTTTTTCCCAGGTCTTCCTTTAGAAGAAATGTTTCGATTATATCTTCTGCGTCATAAACAATTTCCTTGATTTCTATAACAATGTTTCTCACCATTGCACTTGTATGTTTCTTGGCGTCTGCATCTTCCAAAAAGCACCTTAACATATTTAGATCACTTTTTAATTCAGTAAACTGCTCTCCAATTCCCTGAAATCGCTCAGATTCTCGGACAAGGAGGTTCCAAAGCTTCTCAACTCCAAACAACAAAAGTGTCTCAGCCATTAGTCTCCTGCTTAAGCATGAAAGTAGAGGAGGGCCCTTGAGTTCATAATTAGGATAAATGCTTTCTTTAAGTTCAAACTAAATAAGCTATTCTATGGGATTAAGTCCAAAGGTCGTTTGGACATACACATGAACATTATTTGAGATGTAAACAAAAATAAAAATGCAAAATACAGAGGATCTAATTCGAAGGAACATAATAATAATTCGGATAATATATTTTGAAGAAAATCAGACTAAATAAGCTATTCTGTGGGATTATGTCCAGAAGTCTTTTGTACAGAGAGACATGAACATTACCAAAAAGAAAAAAAAAATGTAAAATACATAGGATCGAAGCACAATAGCAAACAATAGACAGAAACATAATAATACCTCACATTAAAACCAAAAAAAAAAAAAACATAATAATACCTTTCCAAAAATAATCATCTCCTGGAATCTCCTTTCGTCTTACTGATGTATTTGTTTAGTGTTGAGTTCGAACTCTGCTGTTAAAGATCCATTATAAAAGCTGACTCCAAGTCAATTCACTACTATTCAACAACCAGCTGTAGTGAAGATGACATGTGAAATCATTAAGTTAGAAAGTCTTTCAAGCAATTGCAGCCACTTCTTACTTCCCACGTGTCTCTTTTACATATATTTTTTTGAGAGAGAAAGGGATAAATAAGGTTTATGTGACAAATTAAATTGGTCTAAGCTTAGTTTAATTTGGTGTTCAAAAAAAAAAAAAAAAAAAAAAGCTTAGTTTAATTCAAAGCTTCTTTCTGTCTAATCATTTTCATTTTAAGTAAGCAAGATTACATGAGATATGTTACTTACCAGACTTAATTGGATAGGTATAAGCCTTGGATCAAACACAAAGTAGTCATAAAGAGTTTGATTATAACTACGAAAAGAGGAAATCAAACCCGAAACAGACCCTTGAAAACTGTTACTACATTTGTCATAAATAGACACAATCTTAGTCATTAACGTATAGCATTACTATGAAATTATCTAGTTTTACACTTGAAGAAAAATGGATATGCATAGTCTATCTCTTAAGAAATAAGTATTGAACTAAGCAGAGGAATAAAAAAAAGCAAAGAAGCAAGCAATGCACTAAACAGAAGAGTTAAAGAAGCAAACAATGAAATCGAGCAAATAAGCAAAGAATGAAGTTAGCAATAGAAGCAGAGAAGGAAAGACGCCAGTATTAGAGTTCATGAGTGCGTTCAAGTTGAAGGAGTAAACAAACAATACGCAGATCAAACAGAGAAAGAAGCCACTAGCCAGCATTGAACTAAGCATATGAATCAAGAAAGCAAAGAAGCATAGAAGCAAAAAAACAAAGAAAAAAAGAGAAAAAAAGACAAAGAGACAAAGAACCAAGCACTAAGTAGAGGAATCAAGAAAGCAAAGAAGCAAAGAAACAAAGAAAGAAACAGTGCACTAAGCAGAGGAATCAAGAAAGCAAAGAAGCAAAGAAACAAAGAAAGAAGCAGTGCACTAAGTAGAGTAATCAAGAAAGCAAAGAAGCAAAGAAACAAAGAGACAAAGAAACAAACAAAGAAGTAGTGCACTAAGCACTGGAATCAAGAAAGCAAAAAAGTAAGCAATGCACTAAGCAGAAAACAAAAGAAACAAATTAATTGAGAAAATAGAAGCAGAGAAGGAAATAAGATAACACGTTAAGCTGTAGTTCATCGTTGATACATAATTTTTGGTATTTCTATCTTTAATAGTCGCAGGGAATATACATTATAGATATCGTGATATTGAAGATGTCCACATAATTCAAAGTAATGTTGTAAATCTCTATAATGGGTGCTTTTATCAAATTTTTTTTTTTTTTTTAGACATTCAATAAGTGTCAGCTCACATTCAACATGTTATGTTTATTTCATGTCCATTGCAAATGGAGGTCTAACACCCTATAAAGTGTGATCGTCTTGCTTCCAAAGGTATGTGTCTTATTATGGTTAGTTGTATGATTTTGCTCTTATACTATGAAATTACATTCTCCTTTTACAGTAGCGGATATCGTTTCTATGGGACTATGTGAACCTATCTTTGTTAGCTTATCGTTTTCTATGATCATAACATAAGAACTGTTGAAGGAATATTTCTTGCTAGATTTTTTTTGATGTTATTCATCTGAAAACATGTTAAGCTTGAGCTAACAAGAGGGAGAAAGCAAGATCCAAGATGACTTTTTGTAGCAAAAATGAGAATTGAGCAAATACAATTTGATTTATTTCCATTTCTGACTGGTAGCACCATTAAAGCATTATTTTGGTCAAATCTTTATGTTACAGCGTCTTCTGATGTTTTATATTTAAAATTGTGTTTTCATTAGTGCTGCATAGGTACAGGCCAATCGAGCTAAACCAATGAAGGTTTGTAAGTTGCATCTTTGAGTCTGCCACGTTAAATCTCTGCAAACCACGTTGTAAGTTTGTCATTTGTTTGTCTTAGAATCCTCTCCAACATTGGTTATTATTTCAGTATAGGTAGCTAGCTCACAATCACAATCTCTGATACACAAATCTGGTCATTAAGATTATGGGGCAAATACGTAATTACCAAAAGTTATGGGGCAAATTCGTAATTACCGAAAGTTGTGGGGCAGTTTCGTAATTATCGATAAGTTCGTGACAATTTCGTAATTACCGAAAGTTGTGGGGCAATTTCGTAATTACCGAAAGTTGTGGGGCAATAATGATGGGTAAAAACCCACTGGGTACTTGAAATCCGGTTATAACTTTGGGTTTTGGTACCCGATTCTATACAGCAAAATAAAACAGACATGTCCCATTTATAACATGTTTTATACGGATTTTATACCCTATCGGGTTTTGGGTACCCACGGATTTTTTTTCTGTTTTTTTTTGTTGTTCTATTAAATTTCTATTTTCATTTTGTTTTACTTTATTTACTTATTCACATCATTATAAAGTCAATAAAGTCAAATGTTTAGAAAATAACAATTTTTGGAAAAACAGAAAAGAAAATATCAATAAACATAAAAATAGCTTAAATTTAATGAAATATTGTTTTAAGTGATTTTTAATCATTTTTAGTTGAAATTTGTAAAATAATATAGAAATCTTCTCATCAAATAATTGAAAATTATACCTAAAAATTAATCTTTATTTCAATGTTTTTTATGTTTTCATGTGTTAAAATTTAAAAAATCTTAAAATTAACAAAGATTTACAATATTTTTATATTAAAAAAATCCTCTCTAAAGATATATAAATATTCTCATCAACTAATAAAGTTGTGTGCTAAACTATTTGTAGAGACTAAAGACTAGAAACTAAGGTCACACATGTAATTTTTAAATATATTTTATATAATTTCTCTATATAATATAAATTTTATATTTTTGAAAATAACATATTTCCCAAATATAATAAAAGGTATAAAAAATTATAATTAGAAAATCAAAGAAGCATATAAGCTAACAATACACTAAGCTGAAAATCAAAGCAGCAAAGAAGCAAAGACAAAGAATCAAAGAAACAATAGTGCACTAAGTAGGGGAATCAAGAAAGCAAAAGAACAAGCAATGCACTAAGCAGAAAATCAAATAAGTAAAGAAGCAAAGAAGCAAAGAAACAACAGTGCACTAAGCAGGGGAATCAAGAAAGCAAAAGAGAAAGCAATGCACTAAGCTGAAAATCAAAGAAGCAAATAAGCAAAGAAATAAACAGTGCACTAAGCAGAAGAATCAAAGAACCAAAGAAACAATAGTGCACTAAGCAGGGGAATCAAGAAAGAAAAAAAGCAAGCGATGCACTAAGCAGAAAATAAAAGAAGCAAATAAGCAAACAATGAAGTTCTCAATCGAAGCAGAGAAGGAAATAAGCAAACACGTTAAGCATGTAACTCTGTAAACAAAGAAATAAAAGAAAAAGGAATCAATGAAGCATATACACATGAATGTGTATGCAATATGTATGTGTACGCATCAATGCCTTGAATGCATATATGTGGGTATGCATGAATATGTAATGTATGTACTAAGTTTATGGTATACATGCATGCAATGTGTTCGACGATGTAAGATGTCGACTGAAATCACGCTATCAAAGGGCTTCAAGGAGAATATATTTAAAGTATTTAAAAAATGTTATATAACACATTCAAATACTTTAACAATAATCACTTATTTTCCGTTGATAGCTTAATCTCAATCGTGCATACCTAAGAGAAGAATTAAACATAAGAAACTAAAAGTTGGAATTCTAGAGTTCGTCTTTCAAGCATTTTGTAGAAGAAAGAAGAAACTATAGAATATTTATTCTAAATTTTGTAGCAATTAGTATTCTACATTTCGTAGAACATAAATGACTTCTAAATTTTGTAGAACATGTAGAGTGTTTAGAATACATATTTTACAGAACATGTACAGTCTATATAATACACATTCTAAAGTAAAAAATATGTATTATAAACTTTGTAGATCAAATTTTATTAATCCAAAATGACAACAAAAACAACATATTTTTTTAAAAAAATTATCCTCATGCCTTCATTATCATTTTTCTGCTAATTGTTGTTAATTGTTTTTGAAAAAGCGATTAAATCTTGAGAATTTTTGAGAAATGCCTCTTTTGGTGTACTCCTTTTTAATTACCACTCTTTTCTATTCATGTTCAAAAATACCCGTTTTCAAATATGAAAAATTATAAACTTTTATATGGTTGATAAGGTATATCAAGATCATCATTACTACTGGGAGACTAAATCCAAATATTTATAAGGTTTTAAACGGCATTTATAAAGGTTTTTATAAGGTTTTTAAAAAGCTTACAAAGTATTTATAAGGTTTTAAAATGATTTTTAAAAAGTATTTATACGGTCTTTAGAAAATATATATGTAAATTTACACACATATAAAGATAATTTTTTTCTATAAATATAAGCTTACACATATTTTTTTGGTAAATATTAAAATTTATAATAACTTTTTGATAAAATTAGAAAGATGAGTATTTTTAAAAAGTGGTATTTGAAAATGGGTATTTTTGAAATTCCCCCTTAACTCTATTAGAAAGGAAAGTTTAGGAAAATTTGGCATTTATTCATAGAATAGAATGCATATATGGACAAATTTGTAAAAAAATTATCCTCTAATTCCAATTTTCCCAAATTTTAATAAATCTGGAGTTATTGGATTCCAAATTTTATAAAGTCAATGAAAGTTTTGTGTTATTCAAGTAAAACAAAAAAATCTAGGATTGTCAATGAATTCAATTATTATGTTATTGGTTTATGATTTTATAAACTTTTCTTCACAAAAATAAATTCATGGAAAATATCATTAAATAGAGAAATTGTTTGGGAGGCTTTAAAAAATTATAGAAAGCTAATCAACAAGATTATAGAAAACTCTCTAGCAATTCTTTAAAATCTTCCACTTATTCACTTTCTATGATTTTATTGAAGTCATCAAAATTCTTTATGAATATAGAATCCAATAACACCTCCTTATTAATATTTACTTTACAAAACCAAATTTAAAATTAAAACCGGAAGAACCATTTTGAACCGGTGTTACCTTTACTATCCCAGTAATTTGAGAATTTTACAGTTTGAAAAATGGTATTTTAGTAACTTTAAAGGTAATTAATCCAAAGCAAGTAAAATGGAAGTTGTGTTTTATTTTTTAAAAAGTTTCCGTTACGTCTTTTTTGTCTTATAAACGTTAAGGGTATTTTAGTAACTCTCTGTTTTAACGGTTATATCATCTCTCTCGCAACACACATTAGAAAGCTCTCTTCTTTCTTCATCAACTCCAACACAAACGTCTCAAAATCTCTTCGCTGGGTATCTCAGCAAATCCTTCTTCTTCTAAATTTTTCGAATTTCTTCTGAAACTTTTTCAATTTCAACAGCGTAATCTGGTCTTATCGGATTAGAGAATCAACATATATATAAATCTTCGTTAGGTAAACAAAATCCTTTTCTTCGACATCTCTCTCTCTTTTTTGTTTTGAAACCCTAAATTCTCCTTTCGTATCAATGTGTTTTAGAAATTGATTAGGATATCAAACACCCAAAAACTAGGGTTCCGTTGCGGCAAATTCTGATCTTTCTCATCTGTTTATGAATCGTGTGTATCTATGTTACTTGATTCGATTATTGCTTAATTTATCCCAAATCGTGTGTTATGATCCCTAGAGGTCGATTCGTGTTTGTTTTTGCTCTTTCATCGATTTTTGATTTTGTGATTTGTTTGATTTGGTTTTGACAGGAAGATCAAAGGGGATTCTGATTCTGATAATCCATGGGATACTATCAAAGATATGATCGGAAATAGCTTGTTTAGTGCTCCTCTCTGTTTGTGGTTTTGATTTGTTTTGCATCACTGTGTCTCCGGTTTGATTCTTGCTCTTTCTTCTTATCGTTTTTTTTTTTATGTTACAGATTGTGTCAAGTCTTTGTTGACTGAAGATAAGAGACATACAATTCTTGCATTCATTACATTCATACATACACACATTCAAGCATTCATACATTCATACATTTATACATTCATACATACATTCATTCATTCATACATACATTCATACATTCATACATTCATACATTCATACATTCATACATTCATATCATTCATACATTCATACATACATACATTCATTCATACATACATTCATACATTCATATCATTCATACATTCATACATTCATACACGCATCTCTGTTTCAAGTGACTTCTATAGTATCATACTAGTTCATACTTTTGTAAATGGGTTAAAGGGCTGAAGGAGAGCGTTTCTTGGAATACAACTCACTATGGCCTGGTACTACAAATCCTCTTTCTAATTCATTATGCACCATCTATTAATCTATATATGTTTTGCGTTGTTTAAGCTTATCATAATTGTTTCACACGTCTCTGAGTTCTTAAGTTTTGCAAGCCTCTGTATATGGAGCAGTTTGATAGTATTTGTAAGATGGCCAATAAAAGTTTTGTATATGCACCAGATGCTCGTGTTTCCACTACTTAGTATTATGGTATGATTCTTTTTTTTTGGTGTGGAATTCACATATGCTAATTGATTACCTTATAAATGGTTATCGTGATTAGCTCTGTTTTTTCTTTCAGACTTTTGTGGTATTAAAATTTTATTATTTTCAATTTTAGCTCGTGGAGATGAAAATTAATCAGGTATGCTTGTGTTCACGTTGGAATGAGAATAATATGCAGGTATGCTTAAAGGTATGAACATTATTTGTTCAATGTAATTGGTTGTCTGATTCTATCTTCTCTATTTCCTTTTTCTAGTTCATGTTAACAATATTAAAAGCTTTAGCAGGGCTAGTGTCATAACGTGTTTCAAATGTTTTAAAATCGATTTCTAGTGTTAGCTTGAAGGCTTGAAGTAAGGAAACAAATCGGTAAGATTCTGTCTCTTCACTTATTTTCTTCTATATATAACTGTTACGTGTTGCATAAAGATTATAATTATGTCCTTTCTCAAATTTGGTGTCCAATGGACTGTTACGTGTGGCTACAAATTCCTATAAGATGCTTTTGCTATTTTCTAACCTGTTTTTGTTAGACGAACATATCTGGATAACTGACTTAAACTCTATTAGTTTTGCTTTCAGATATCAAAGAGTTTCTTAATGATGTCAAACCTGCAGTACTAAGTAACAGTCCATTGGACACCAAATTTGAGAAAAAACCTTGAGTTACATTTGCGTAAGTAGTCTTTTGGAATTCTTGTTTTTAACTTGATGTGCTTATATTGCGTTCATCAGGGAACTACAGCTCCAAAGAGAGTTATTAAGACGACTTTTAAATACCAACCTCTGCTAGAGCCTAGAGGTATGTACAAAGCACCTAGAAAATATATCTATAAAAGTCTTTAAGAGTCATGATTTCAAGGTGTTGTACGAATTGGTAATCTTCCTTTCTATCTAAATCGAACGCTTCTTTTGTGGAAATTTGTTATAAGCTTTAGAGTTGAAACTTAGTCATTTTAAATTTTGTAGATGAATTTGGAGTCAACTGATCCTGTAAATAAAATTCTGGAAAGAAATAAACGTTTTCAACCAACTGAACTGGTATGAAGTCAAGAGCTGTTTTTGTAGTTCTTTAGTTGTTCATTCCAAAATTAGTCATGAATCCTGATCATTTATCTGTACTAATTTTTTTCACGTTCGATAGGAGAATTATTTATGGTCTATGGTGACGACTTTAGGGAGGAAACAAGTCTTATGATGCTAGCATTGGAGATGAAGGTTTTGTAGTAGCCATGAAACCTGATGTCGAGAAGACAAGCAAGGTTGGTAATACATATCAAGCATTTAAAATAAATTTTTCCTCATGGAAAATATCACTATGGGTCCGTTTTACGAAATAATTGATCTATTGGCGAATTCTATCTGATGTTCTGAAGTGCTTGGTGACAAAAATAAGTACAAAAATAAGTACATGAGGGATTGCACTTTCGTTGCTATTGAGTCGTGGCTTGGTTTTGGTTATGTGTATTTTGAAAAAATGGTTTGTGATAATCTTTCTTAGGCATGTCCTCTTTTTTTATTAATTGCTGCAGATTCCTAATATGGGAAAATGGAAGCAGAAGGACGTAAAGAGCGTTTTCATTGGTTGACACAACATATTGCTGGTTTTAGTGACTTTGTGGATGCCATACATTTACTTAAATTTGCTAGCAACACGCAATGATGGTAACTTATCTAAAATTTTATACCGCCTCATCAGTTTTAATGTTTGTTTGTAATGACTTCAATTTGGTATGCTTCAATGAATCTTTCCAGATTCGAAGCAGCAATTGTACAAAACACAGCCAAAGGATACATTTCAGAGGTGGACAAGAAACAGGAGGAATCCTTGGTTGACAAAATAGCTTGTTGGATTAAGTGAATTTTTGGATAGTTTACATTTACTGAAACCTGCAAGCAACCTCAACGATGGTGACTGGTGAATTATCATAGATTTTGTACTACCTCTTCAGATTTAACAGTGATTAGGTTTGTTTGTAATGACTTCAATGAATCTTTTCAGGTTCAGATCAGTAGATGTGTGAAAAACTGCCAACGGATGCATTTTCGTGATCTTGAGAGTCAGTGGACAAGGAACGGTAGGTATCCTTTGGTTAGCTTGTTCTACTCATGGCTAGAAGCCTAGAACTCGATATCTGAATGGTTGTGCGCATTTTTTTCTCAGATTGTAAAGAGTATCAGAAGATACCTAAGGCCCAACAACAAACCTTATGCTTGAAAAGGTAAGACCATGATTTGTTTAATGTACCCTATTTGTCTGATTGATTCTCTCCTCTCCGTTCCCTTTCTCTAGTTCGTTTTAACAATGTTTTTCTTCAGAATCATCAAAAGCTTTGGCGGGGCTTATGTTGAAAGATGTTTCGTAGATTCCAAAATCCACTTCTAGTCTTACCTTGAAGCAAGGAAACAGTTCAGTAAGATTCTGGCTCTTAACATAATTTTTTCTTATCTTTAATTATGACATGTTATCTAAAGATTAGAAAGAATGATATTTGGTGGCTGAATGATAGATTTGTTGGTAAGAAGAAAATGGTATATCTTTATTTAATTAGCTTTTCTAAATTTTATTTCATAGCTCCAATACTTCAAGATGCAAGGGATCCAATGCTGAATTATAGAAGTCGTATAAGACTCAATTTTAAGGTAAGTTTGTTCTGTTCCTCATGTCTCTTTTTCATAAAAAGTGAAGTACTTTTTCGCTTTATTTACTCTTTGCTTTATGTATATGCACAGGTTTTGTTAAGATTTGCATAGTTTATTGGTTTTAATAGTTGTGAAATTATATAGTAAAATGTAAGGTTTTGTTAAGATTTGATTTCGTCTTCTTCGGTTCCTAAAATCAAAGCAAGGAGATCATTCTAAGTAGAGACCATGTGGAACTTCAATGAAGAAGAGGAAGAGAAACCAATCAAGATTTTGTTTCCATCAACACTGATTTATTATCTATTACAAGTCGAAAATAACACCTTGTAATCTTTCAAATTGATGTAGTATAAGAGCCGTCAGAACAAGTAGCTGCAATTATCTCCTCACAATTCACACCTTCTGAGGCCAAGAAAGAAGAAGCTACTCCTACTGAAGCAAGAACAAATAAGCCGTCTCATGACAGCTCCGAGGATGCAGAGCTCAACAACAAGACTTCAGACACCAAGTTCTTTATCATTCTTTGGGAGATTGTAAACAGTTATGTGACGACTCAGCAGATAGAAGACAAAGAGAACGTTCCTCCTGCTTTCACACCCAAACCACCGGTGCAGTTTTCTCAAGGAGGAAAGTCCATGAACCTTAAGAAGCAGCAAACTGCTAGAAAGATAGATAGTCTTCTGAAGAATCCATCGCACGTAGCCCGAAAACCAAGTCACAATTGTCTCAAGCCAAAGGCAGTCATCAGAAAAGTGTGAAAAGGTAGATGACATTCTTAATGACCACTCTAATACACAAATCTGTTTTTTCTTTTGTGTTGATTGCTTCACTGCAGGGAAACGAGTGTCAGAAACATAGTTAGCATTATATCACTTAGCCACTCATGAGTAAACTATATAAGGTAGCATCTATCTTTTGTTCAATCAAATATCTTTAAAACCAAGTCGCAATTGTCTTAATGACAACTCTAATACACAAATCTGGTTTCACGCTCCTCTTGTAATTGGTTTTTTGATTGTGAAACAAAGTTAGGACTGCCAATCTGATTCAGGAAAATCAAGACAGGTGAGCCAAATTGTTGATAATTTACAACCTTCATTCAATGTCACTTTCATGACTGTATCTTTCTCTTCATTGATTCATCTAGATTCTCAATCCAAAACCAACAACTCTGCTCCACAAGATAAGACAGAGTATGCCCTCAGTCACTAAGAACACTCCAAAGGAGAATAGAAAGATATAAGGTATTGTTTTCTTTGCATCACAGTTTTGTATTCAATTTCCGTCAGACCCTCTCAACTCTTGTTTTCATTTCTTAATGTTTATGTCCACGAGAAAATTGCACCTTTTGTTTCAACTGCTGAACTAATGAAGAAGTTCCAAAACTTGCCATATTCTCATGCCAACACTTCTCTTCCACTGGTAATTAACCAACAAAACTATCTGATTCGTTTTACTTATCTACTGACTTTTTATCTCTTGGAATCTCTTTGACTAAATTCCAGGATGGTAATGTGTTTTTTTCCTTGTCCAGACTCGAGCTAAGCTGACACTGACAAGACCCAAGGAACCGAATTTGTGACATTCCAAGAGCTCGTCCTTTGAAAATCAAGAGAAGAGGAGAACTTGATGAAGAGATATTGGCTAAGATTCAACCATGGTATATTTGTAGATAGAAAACTAAACTAAACCAATGCGTTCTGTGATTTAATGCTTATTTGCAGATCAAAATGCTTGAAAGAAGAGGAACTGTGAAGAGAAATGGAAGAGAGAATAACCCCAGAAGAGGCTCTTCAAAGCACAACCAGTTATAAAAGAGTAACTGACTTGCCCCTTTTTTACTTTTTATCACTGGTTTCAAAATGCTTTCACATTTTGCTTTGATGATCACATAGGGACCCAATCCCTGTTACAAAGAAAGTACGAATTCCCCTCAGAGAAATTCAGAAGTTCTGTCTCCATGTAGAGTGAGTAGACTTTCATCATAATGTAAGGTTTCAGACTTCAGTCATTCCAGCTGACAAAAGAATGCTTCAATAACCTCTGATGTGGTATTAGTTCTGTAGCACGTAATATATGTTTATTTGCAGATCAAAATGCTTGAAAGACGAACTCTAGAATTCCAACTTTTAGTTTCTTATGTTTAATTCTTCTCTTAGGTATGCACGATTGAGATTACGCTATCAACGGAAAATAAGTGATTATTGTTAAAGTATTTGAATGTGTTATATAACATTTTTTCAAATACTTTAAAAATATTCTCCTTTAACCCCTTTGATAGCGTGATTTCAGTCGACATCTTACATCGTCGAACACATTGCATGCATGTATACCATAAACTTAGTACATACATTACATATTCATGCATACCCACATATATGCATTCAAGGCATTAATATGTACACATACATATTGCATACACATTCATGTGTATATGCTTCATTGATTCCTTTTTCTTTTATTTCTTTGTTTACAGAGTTACATGCTTAACGTGTTTGCTTATTTTCTTCTCTGCTTCGACTGAGAACTTCATTATTTGTTTATTTGCTTCTTTTATTTTCTGTTTAGTGCATCGCTTGCTTTTTTCTTTCTTGATTCTCCTGCTTAGTGCACTGTTGTTTTTTTGCTTCTTTGATTCTTCTGCTTAGTGCACTGTTTGTTTCTTTGATTATTTGCTTCTTTGATTTTCAGCTTATTGCATTGCTTACTCTTTTTTCTTTCTTGATTTCCCTGCTTGATGCACTATTGTTTCTTTGTTTCTTTGCTTCTTTGCTTCTTTGCTGTTTTGATTTTCAGCTTTGTGTATTGTTTGCTTATTTGTTTCTTTGATTTTCTACTTATAATTTTTTTTATGCCTTTTATTATATTTGGGAAATATGTTATTTTCAAAAATATAAACTTTATATTATATAGAGAAGTTATAGAAAATATATTTAAAAATTACATGTGTGACCTTGTAGTCTATACAAATAGTTTATTAGCACACAACTTTATTAGTTGATGAGAATATTTGTATATCTTTAGGGAGGATTTTTTAATCTAAAAATATTATAAATCTTTGTTTATTTTATGATTTTTTAAATTTTAACACATGAAAACATAAAAATATTTGAAATAAAGATTAATTTTAGGTATAATTATTTGATGAGAAGATTTCTATATTATTTTACAAATTTCAACTAAAAATGATTAAAAATCACTTAAAAGAACAATTCAATAAATTTAAGTTATTTTTATGTTATTGATATTCTCTTTTTTTTGTTTTCAAAAATTGTTATTTTTCTAAATATTTGACTTTATAATGATGTGAATAAGTGAACAATGTAAAACAAAATGTAAATAGAATGTTTGTTAATTTTTTTGGTTTTTAAAATTGTAACACATGAAAACATAAAAAATTTGAAATAAAGATTAATTTTTAGGTTTAATTTTCAATTATTTGATGAGAAAATTTTTATATTATTAAAAAATTTCAACTTAAAATGATGAAAAATCACTTAAAAAATATTTCATTAAATTAAAGTTATTTTTATGTTTATTGATATATTTTTTTTAAAAAAAGTTGTTATTTTTTCTAAACATTTGACTTTATAATGATGTGAAAAATATGTGAACAAAGTAAAATAAAATGTAAATAGAAATTTAATAGAACAACAAAAAAATAACTTAGGTAGAATTTTCAATTATTTGATTAGAAGATTTCTATATTATTTTACAAATTTCAACTAAAAATGATAAAAAAATCACATAAAAAAATATTTCATTAAATTTTAATTACTTTTATCTTTATTGATTTTTTTTTTTTACAAAATTTGATATTTTTTCTAAATTTTTAACTTTATTGACTTTATAACGATGTGAATTTAAGAGAACAAAGTAAAACAAAATGTAAATAGAAATTTAATAGAACAACAGAAAAAACAGAAAAATAAACCTATAGTCCCTAAAACCCGAAATGGCCCCACAACTTTCAATAATTACGAAATTGCCCCAACACTTTCGGTAATTGCGAAATTGCCTCAGAACTTTCGGTAATTGCGAAATTGCCTCAGAACTCTCGGTAATTACGAATTCGCCCACATCTTTATATTATTATGAATTTGCCCCACAACTTTCGGTAATTACGAAATTGCCCTACAACTATCAAAAATTACATGTTTGCCCCCCAACTTTTGATATCTATGAAATTGCCTTACAACTTTCGGTAATTACGAAATTGACCCACAGCTTTCGGAAATTACGAAGTTGCCCCACAACTTTCGTTAATGACGATTATGCCCCAAAACGTTTGATAATTACGAAATTGCCCCAGAACTTTCGGTAATTGCGAAATTGCCCCAGATCTTTCGGTAACTACGGAATTGCCCCACAACTTTCGGTACTTACGAAATTGTGCCACATCTTTTGGTAATTACGAGTTTGCCCCATATCATTATGTAATTACGAATTTGCCCCACAACTTTCGGTAATTACGATTTTGCCCCACAACTTTCGGTAATTACGAAATTGCCCCACAACTTTCGGTAATTACGAAAATGCCCCACAACTTTCGGTAATTACGATTTTGCCCCACAACTTTCGGTAATTACGAGTTTGCCCCACAACTTTCGGTAATTACGAAATTGCCCCACAACTTTCGGTAATTACGAAATTGCCCCCACAACTTTCGATAATTACGATTTTGCCCCACACCTTTCGGTAATTACGATTTTGCCGCACAACTTTCGGTAATTACGAAATTGCCCCACAACTTTCGGTAATTACGAAATTGCCCTAAAACTTTCGGTAATTACGTAATTGCCCCAAAACGTTCGGTAATTACGAAGTTGCCCCACAACTTTCGGTAATTACGAAGTTGCCCCACAACTTTCGGGAATTACGGAATTGCCCCACAACTTTCGGTAATTACGGAATTGCCCCAAAACTTTCGGTAATTACGAAATTGCCCCACAACTTTCGGTAATTACGATTTTGCCCCACAACGTTCGGTAATTACGATTTTGCCCCACAACTTTCGGTAGTTACGAAATTGCCCCAAAACTTTCGATAAGAATTTGCGCCTTTACTTTCGGTTATTACAAAACTGTCAAACAACTTTCGATAATTACGAATTTGCGCCTTTACTTTCGGTTATTACAAAACTGTCAAACAACTTTCTGTAATTACGAAATTACCCCACACATTTGGGTAAATCATCATGTTTCCTGAATATGATTAATGTCTCTACTTATGTGTTTTGTTGAATAGCAACTTCCCATTTGAATTCATAGTGGAAATAGTTTATATATTATAATAATAGATATAAGCTACGTCAAAAATGGAAACGTTAACACAGTTTTATTTCCCTAAGATTTAGATGCTACTATAAGAAAAGTAATAATATCTTGTGATAAAAAAGTATATGACCAATATGAAGACCAAACTCATAAGTTTCTCTAACAAATATCTATCTACAAAACACACGCAAGTACATCATTATATTATCATTCTGTTTTCTTTTTTTTTCTTTAACTAGTGAAGGAAATAAGAAAATTAGTCCCCGAAACGGGGACCAATCCACAACGGCCAAAAAAAAAGAATTGTGTTTTATGGTACCTTCAATAATAATCCTGGAAATCAAACAGGTTTCTAATACCTGTAAGATGATCCAGACTGTGGTGGTGCTGGTGGGAGCCGGTTTGGCGTGGTGCGACGGGTGCTGCCACCAGATCCAGAAGAATCCTCACCGTTCTGTGCTGGGTCACTGTAACGACGGCTATGGCCGCCAGATCCATATCTCTTCAATGAGTCAGGTCCACTAGCAGCTGCATTAAACGCATTCATCCAGTCCTCTCCTGAAGCCCCACCATTGGTTCTCGGGCTGCTTTCTGCAAAAAAGAACATATAAAGATGACCACGAAATCAATTCCATGCATTTTGCATTACATATTAGCACAATATCGAAATGGTAGATGAGTGTGGGTATATATATATATATATACACACCTGTGCCACTATTGTCAGACCAGCTTGAAGCAGCAGCTGCTCTGTTATCGTGAATGCTAAGCTGCCTTGTGAGCTTCGAAAGAAGAGAGGATTGCTTCTGGTAACGGTCTCTTCGTCTTTTGACATTCTGATCCTCTTGAATCAATGATTCAATCCTCTCATTACCAATTGCGCTGCAGATGGAAGGGAGGGACAAATAAGCACCACATCATCATATACAGTAAGTAATACATTGTGAGGATATTAAGAAACCTGATAGAACTGTAAAGCTGATTCAGCATGTCTTCCTTTGATTTCTCTACTTGACAAAGAACAACAGCCTGTTGTGTGTAGCCACGGTTTTAGTAATATGATCAAGTAATAAAAAATGAGATGGACATTGGAAATTAAAGATTCACGACAAAAATGAATAGTCCACCTTTGGAACATTGGCAGCTAGACTGTTGAGAACAGCTTCAACGTAACCCCGTACTTCTTGGGACATCCACCGCAATTCCTCTTCTGGGTCAACCGGTTTCCTAACCATCTTATCCTGAAAAGGGAAAGAAAATCAGACAACAAAAGAAAACCGAAATTTATTACCACTCCAGGAAACACATTGCCTTCATGCCCAAACAAAGCTATCTTCAATGTTTAAGTATAACAAAAATCTTTACCCAAGTACGACACACATAGATATCATTTTTCATAGCAAATACTTTATCATCAAGCAAACAGTACTGGATTAAGATCAGCTAACACATATTTTGCGCAGATATAGTCTCTAAGGGAAAGGGGAGAAATCTTGGAATGAGCAAGTAGTTTCCTTGTGTGACTTACAAGAGAACCTTCTGAAAGACTTTGTCTCATGGAAGCGCCAGCTACTTGGCCTCCTCGAGCCTGAATAACTTTTTGCAGCTTATTAATCCATTCATTCTTATCAACCATGCTCTCAGCCTTGAGAACCAGCGCATTGTGGGCTGCAACATCAGAGCTTTTGAGGAATTGTTCATACAAAAGTGCATAAAGAGGATTAAGCCGTTAATTTTGATTATTGCTTGGCATACCTTTAAGTACAGTCTTATATGGAACCCGGCAGGTTATCTTAAATACGAGGCCTGGTCCTTTTGAATCAGGTCCATTTGATTTCTTATCTTTGGAGCTCTTTGATTTTTC